TTTCTGCCATTTACACCGACGAGTACGGGACCGAACCTTCAATGCTCTTCCCTTTTACCTCTACATTTCATCCCATGAACCATCATCCTGCCACACAAAAACAACTTGACATCCTTGCCTTGTCTTGAATCCCCTACCATCGCTGATCCAACCATTCGCCCGAAGTCACTCGCTTTCTACGATTGTACATCCGGGTTGACACCGGAATTATGACCATCTCCGAACAAGACGCCGCTGCACGCCTTGCGGTACGGAAACCCATTCCGAAACCGGTTCCCGCCTATCTTCCTACAGCCGGCTCTCCTCTCTCCGTCGACAAGGACCTCTACTCCACCATACAACAAGCCCCACGTGTCCTTATCGAGGAATTCACCATCCCTATCCGCTCCGGCCGCGCCTGGACCGCACCAGCCGGCTCCATCATCCGCATATCCACCCCTGAAGGCCCCCAAGTGGGTGACCTCAATATTTGGAACCTTCACAACCCCCGCGAACGCTTCTGGGCCTCGCGGACCAAACAGCTCTATGCCTCGCACGTCTCGACCTACGATAGGCTCTGGTCCAACTTACCCTTCATGCGGCCGATGATGACCATTATCGCCGACACGTTGTCCTGGTATGGACAAGACGAACATGGAGGCCGAGTCCATGACCTCTTGGGGACGAGGTGTATCCGTATATCAATAACGTGTTGAGTGACGGAGAGTTCGACTTCCACTGCCACTCGAACCTGACGAGGGCGGTGATGGAGTATGGGCTGAACGAAGGTGATGTGCATGATGTTATTAACCTGTTCCAGGTGACGGGCTGGGATGAGAAGGGGCGGTACTTCATGAGCCCCTGTCCGGCGACCGAGGGGGATTTTGTGGAGTTTCTGGCGGAACAGGACGTTTTGATGGCACTGAGTAGGGCTTCCCTCCCTTTGTTACACTTCTCACTGGGCGTTTTTTCCTTCCGTCCAGGGGCACGTTTGGTCTTCGGTCATTACATTTGGCTGACTTGGTGTTGACACAGGCACTTGCCCCGGCGGCAACCTTTCTCTCTGGGGCTTCGGAAGCGATAACGAGAAGGAGATGATCAAGTGCTGCCGGCCCTTGAAAGTTGAAGTGTTCCGTTTCGAAGATAAGGAGCTGCTTGACCGAAGCGGGTGGAAGCCGGCAGAAAAGGCAAACTATCGCGGCCGACATGGGCTGGTTGTTGCGGAACGAAGCACAAGCACCAAGTGAAAGGATGTGAAAGAGACGAGTTCCATGACATATCGGAAACAATGGATCAGAACACAAGTTCAGGCGGAAATCTGCTTCCTGGACTCCTCAAGTGTCCTAGAGATGGACTGATACAACTCGGTGCACTCATCCTTCTGCGTTAGACTGTTTCCATGATCTGAGTGACAAGGTCTTTGACAATCTCATCTGCGCATAACTCCGAGTATCTGATCGTATCACGCCGTCATGCCGTTGTATGCTCCGCATCTTTCTTGGAATAGCTTTACTAACTCCTTCTGATCACCCGCCTCGAGAATTCCGGCTTATAGGCATCTACGTCAGGCGGGGAACGGAAACGTTCCAGTTGCACTGACATGGTTGAGTCAACTCTATGCCAAGACATCATTACCAAGCACCGAAAAACAACCATTGACATGATAACGATGCACTTCACCAAAGCGGCCTCCGGCGGCTGTGCCAAACCGGTAAGTCTTGGCTGTTCAAGGGTCTGTACTGTGTAATCGGATCGAACCGATGACAGGCAGAAGACCACGATGATTGGCCGTCTATGGTAAGCTGTAGAACCACCACTCGGCTCCTTCGATGTTACTTCAAAACAATTGACCTCTTTCATTGGTAGCATTGTTCTCAGCTACACAATAGGGCTGACATCTATCCACTGATACGCGCATTTGGGTTCAGTCTGTGCCTCCCTTCTCCCGTTCTGTACCATTCCACTGGATCGTTTGCGGTTACACCGACCTGATTGCTGGAACCGGATTCCGGTTTGGCAACATACGTCCCTTGCGGGTATCTGGTCCCGGCCGACCGTCATCGGCATTGTCATATTGCTATTTTGCAATTGTCCAATAATGAAGCGTTCTTCCTCTCACCCACGTATCGACATCGCCGCCTCTGAACCAGGATCCCTCCCCCCATGTGCCCTTGCCGCACATTAGCCATGTGCGGATGGCTGTCATTCCTATCCCTCCTCTGTAGACAGCTACCTGGTTGGACGAAACCAAACCGGCATCACCAACTACAACACCTTGGTGGTTTCAATGGTACGTTGCGGCACTCTTGATTCTTGTTTCAACGGAGCTATCTCGTTAACCGTGGACTATCGGACGGGCCGATCACTCTGCCTGCAACACCACATTGGTGTTAACGCCGAGTCATGGACTACCTACTACCGATCTGTAACCACAGTCAACTCGCAGCAGCGTTTCACGGTGGAGCTGACGCAGTAGGGCTGACGGCAAAGTTAGGCATAGGGCTGAAAGTATCTCGAAGAGGAAATAGCGAGAAAGGCCGTAGACGACATGGACAGCATCATGCTCGAGGAGATTCCACCGTGGACGTGTAGTTATGATGGCTTCAACGCCATATAAAATCTCAGGGCTTCTCCTCAACGACCATGTCTCCCCTCATCAACCATCACATCCACACGTCAACACACACATCAACGACATACTTCCTTACTCAACAAACCCGTAACAACCAAGCCAAGCAGGCCCTTGACCCATCAACACCGCAACCATGATGATGAGCATTGGCAACATGGGCTCTTCTGGCCCATCCTACTACTCCCAGGGCCTCCGCGCTCGCTTCAACATTGACGCCTACAGAGTTCAGCAAGCTAAGGCCGAGGTCAACAAGCCATATTCCGACATCTCTTATACTGTAAATGAGAAAAAGTACCGAGACCGGGCAGCTGCCCGTGTCAGGGCCGGAGGTCTTCCAACTTCTGTACCTGCTGGCTGGCCTACAAAGCTCCAAGGTCCGCTGGTGTGGACTGTTGATGACTTTGAGAAAGAAGATGAGTATGTCTACCATCTCACACCAGCGGACAAGATGGAGGTGCTTGAGGCATTGTCAATTTTCAAGTGTACGTATGTCTTTCTCCCATAGCATGCATACAAATGGCTGACACCAACGCAGCATATGGACTCGATAGCCACAAAGTCACCAAAGATCTTTTCCCCCTTCCCAACCTTGGTCCTATCCTCTCGGGTATTCGCGACGATATCTACTTCGGAAAAGGCTTCTCCATCATCCGTGGCCTCAACCCAGACGACTATGCCATCACAGACCTCACCGCCATTTACCTTGGCATCACCTCCTACATCGGTCAGCAACGCGGTAAGCAGGACCAACGGGGATCCATGCTTATTCACGTCATTAAGCGCGGCGACGAGACTACCGGCTTCGACGACCAATACGGTGAAGACAAGCCCTTTCACACAGACTGCGTTACCGACACCCTCTGCCTCTTCACCCAAGGCTTGGCCGCCTCAGGTGGGCAAAGCTGCATCGCCTCCGCTTACACCATCTACAACGAGATTGCACGCACAAGACCGGACCTCATTCACACCCTGGCCGCTCCCGATTGGCCATTTGACACTCTCGGACGCGATCCCGCTTATTACAAGCGCGCACTGATGTACTGGCATGATGGACGGCTCATCACCTCCTTCTCCCGCCGTCTCCTTGTCGGATCGGAGCCTTTCAGCCCTCGCACACCGGGCATTCCCGGTCTCACGGAGGCTCAAGCTGAAGCTCTTGATGCTATGCATTTCATCGCCAAGCAACACGAGATCAAACCACGCATGGTCCGCGGGGATCTGAGGTTCATCAATAACATGGCTCTGCTGCACAGAAGAGAAGCCTTTGAGAATGATAAGACCTCCGGGGAGGCCAGACATTTGGTCAGGATGTGGCTGCACAATGATGAAGGTGCGTGTTGGAGCTTGCCGGCTCCGTTGAGACTCGCTTGGGCCAGAGTATTTGAAGATGAAGGAAATAAGGAGCGCGGGGAGTATTGGGATTTAAAGCCGATGAGGGATCCCTTGACAGGACATATCTTGAGGGTTGGTGGCAGTTGTGACTAGGGGGTTTGATGATTGATGTAGCGTGGACGGGGGATGTGTAAGAGAAAGCGAACATGTGCTGCTGGCGGCTTGTACATTGATATTCACCTTTTCGTTTTTCCAGCTCCTTGCAATTTTGGGAGGGTTTCCTTTTTTCGAAGCATATAGACTAGACTTGCATACTTTCAGTTTCCATTATAGAAAAATACCTTTTGCGCGCATTCGACTTGAAGCTTAAAACTCTTAATTGTTGCGATCTAATCAGAGAATCCTATGTAGGCTAGACTAGATGAGCAATCAGGTAGGACCCGAAGTCCCGGGTCCGGTATATCGGGTCCAGGAATGCCGGTATAAAAGAAGGCCCCCCCAGGCCTCTTGTTACCGGATCTTCAGCAAGCAATAGCTATCATAATCTACCAGTACCATTCGGCTACTACTCCGTTACTCTATTGTTCTATCCTAGCGATAATACTCCTGTGCTTGTAACGGTTCGTCACACACCCGTTTCTCTCTTTCCCTTTCACTCTCCATCATATAGTAACCCCCGATCATGTACGTAATGCAGGACTAACATGGTTTTGACACTGTTTAGCCTTTTCCGTCCCGCTTTCTATAAATAAATGCCGAAGATCCACAATGTCATTTAAAAAGAAATAAAAGGCCATGGACTTGAGAACGACAAATCAGAGAGGCCTGCAAAAGTCGCCTTAGGCCCACTCGGCCTGTTTTTTGTCGCATTTAAGGACATTGAGATTGAGAAAACGAGGAGTGTCCAGCTATCTTTAAACACAACAGGGTCATTGCCTCGG